CCAAGACGTAGTGATGACTACAATTGTGATATTACATCGCCAAGCCGTGGTCCAGTGTTGGCCACAAGACAGCCGGTGTGTGCGGGTCCTCTTTGAGAGTGTCGGAGGCCCACGCGTCCGGCAGGTGGATAAACCTGACCATGCCTTTATTTATTTGCGTGTGCTTTCTGAAGTAGGCTCGAAGTAGACAAGTTGTTTATATACATCACAGATGACTCGGGAAGGGGTGACGAAGTTTGGACACCTGGGACATATTCTCTTGTTTGTTTAGGCTATATCTGTTTGTGAATCGCCACTGGAGTACAAGCCCAGGCCACGTCATGACCTCTCCTGAATCTGTATCCAGGGAGCCAAGTACAGGGTAATTGTGATATTCTACCTTGGAGTCCCATATGGACACAAATACGATGTGGTTTAAAACCCAATAAAACATTTTTCCCATTTGAGACATTGTTCGTCGGAACCTCTATGGAGAGACAAGCATGGGACACTTGAGAGACATTTTATCACGGAGTTCCACATGGAGACAGACACGATGTAGTTTAAAACCCAATAAAACAGCTTCCCCATCACATTATTTCTCATCCATATTTTATTGCATAAGTGCTGAGTCTGTCCATTGTATTATCACCTGAGCAAGCATCTAGAAGCTGGAGTAAGTGAGTAAGTGAATGAGTGAGTTTAGTTTTACGCCGCTTTTAGCAAAATTCCAGCAATATCCCGGCGGGGGACACCAGAAATAGGCTTCACACATTGTACCCATGTGGGGAATCGAACCCGGGTCTTCTGCGTGACGAGCAAACACTTTAACCACTGGGCTACCCCACCGCCCCTTTTTCAGTGTATAAGTATTGAGTCTGTATATTGTATTATCACCCACAGCAAGTATCTAGAAGTTGGAATGCATGGATGTTTACAGACATTTAAGTCATACAACTTTATCAAAGCAAGAGTTAAGTGTTATACGTTGTAGATTGCAATTATATATGGAAATAAGCAGCATCAAACCGTTCTCTTCTTTCCGTTTTACAAATGAATATTTTCATCTGATATGAAAATGATAAAAAAAATGTTAGTTAAGTCCATTCTATTCTGAGCCCATTCCGGCTTAATAATTGTTAACACTCAGAAATAACATGTTAAATCCACACCGTCATTACTTTTGACTTCAAACAAATACACAGGTTTTGATGTTGGAAATTCCGTAATCACAGTAAACAATTGATTCCAAAACAACCAACAGCCAAAGTCTTGAAGCCCCAAATTCAAACACGACCAATAGACACCACAGTGGATTTAACTTTTTGCACACGTCACTACAAAACTACTCTTCCCACAGAGGTTACTCCTGTCATATCTTCCTACATAACCTCTGTTCTAATACGGCCATATTTCCCGGTCCTCGTAAAATCCCTAGCGGCAAAAGATCGCAACACGAATTATCTCCTTCTTTCTATCCAATCAGAACACGTGTTACATCGACTTAGATTCAATTTGACTAACACAAGCAAATGCGGGGCCACAAATATCCCCATCTGCCGGGGAATTGTGTTGATGTTACACACAAGACGTTTAATGGCTAGCTTGTCCGTTGTCAACGAGGGCGATGGAGACGCCATTGATACGCCATTACATGACTGAGTTCTGTCTAGAAGAAACGTTTGCGCATCGCGCTCGGGAAGAGGTTCTAGTTTTCCCGAAGCATACGGAAATTACCGAGGCCTTGCGAATGATCACTTTTGAAACAACGTCGCTGATTGCACAACTAAATCGGCTTGTCTCCAATCACGAGCCTTGAACGCTGACACCAAGAAAGGGTCGTATTAGAACAGAGGTTATGTAGGAAGATATGACAGGAGTAACCTCTGTGGGAAAGAAATTAAACTTTGCATTAAAATTTCTTCATGAATTATACACGGTAGAATCTTCTATCAGAATTATCAAACGTAATTTCGATCTGACCACATCATTTGCACTTTAGATGCCTTTGCGGCGTCAATCTTTACTCGTTACGATGTAAATCGCAGTCTTAACTGTAAGTTATGGCGAAGTCTTCAGCGAGAATAATCAATAAGCGTATGTTAAATGACTCTGGCAGCCTCCCTCTAGAAGTACTAAGTGTCCATTAGAATATTGAGAGGCATTCAGGGATATTTCATCTGGGAATACGCAACGATGACTAAACAGATATGATGTGGTCAAGTACTTGTCAGTATGCCTTTGTGCTTGTCATCAGCACCTCCTTGTGGTCCAGTGGATGGGGTGTCTGAGTGAGTGAGTGAATGAGTTTGGTTTTACGCCGCTTTTAGCAATTTTCCAGCAATATCATGGGCTGTACACATTGTACCCATTGGGGAATTGAATCCGGGTCTTCGGCGTGACGAGCGGAAGCCTTAACCACTGGGCTACCCCACCACCCCTGGGGTGTCTGAAACACAAGCGGAAAGTCTGTGGTTCGATGCCCGTTTCGCATCACGCCAAGAGTGTTTTAAGGATGTCCTGTTAAACATGTGTTTAGGCAAAAAACCTAGGCGTATTTCGTGACCCATAATTTGGACATGTTTAGGTTTTGTTGAACAGGTAAAGTTTTTACAGTCGTAATGTGGGAAAGACCAAACACGTTGTAAACATGTTTAGATTATTGGAATGTTGTGTTTAGGCAGTGTTTCGTCTATGAGACGGTGTCTCATTTAATGTGTTAAGACCCTGGGCGGTGGGGTAGCCTAGTGGTTAAAGCGTTGGCTCGTCACGCCGAAGACTCGGATTCGAATCCCCACATGGGTACAGTGTTTGAAGTTGCTGGAATAATGCTAAAAGCGGCGTAAAACTAAACTCAGGCAATCAGTCAGTCATTGTTAAAACCCTAAACATCTGTACATAATATACAAATGCGCATCCCGTTTGGGATTTCTGAACATGGTTAGATCAAAACACTTCTTGTATGGTCCTTCTAAACACATTGTTCACTTTGAGGTACTTGTTGTTACCTTGACTGGCGGTCGAAATTGAGGAGATAAAACAATAGCAGTCTGGACGGAGTGTGCATAAAGTGTCTGAATAGGGGGTTTATCATAATCGCGGCAGGGTATCTCACCGGGCGAGCAAAAAAAAACCCGGCTAGCACAAGCAGCCACCACGTGCTAGACTGACACTTAGTCTCCGAATACTAGTATTCGATAGAAACAATTCCTTTTAAATTGAAAAGGAGCCCCAGTGACCCAGTGAAGAGGGGGACCTGAACCTGAGGAAATCTAGACTTGATTCATTTGGAGCTTCAGCATTGAAGAAAGGGCTAGACAGAAGGGAGACCCGGGGACCAGGCTGGACAGAAGGCAGACCCCGGGGACCAGGCTGGACAGAAGGCAGACCCCGGGGACCAGGCTGGACAGAAGGAAGACCCCGGGGACCAGGCTGGACAGAAGGCAGACCCCGGGGACCAGGCTGGACAGAAGGCAGACCCCGGGGACCAGGCTGGACAGATGGGAGACCCCGGGGACCATGCTGGACAGAAGGCAGACCCCGGGGACCAGGCTGGACAGAAGGCAGACCCCGGGGACCAGGCTTGACTGAAGGGAAAGTAATGCGGTTCAGATACTGTGAGACAGACTACACACGAGCAGCCCACTATATAACCACAGCAGCGGTCTGTCGCGTTAGAACGTGGATCATATCAACTCTGAGTGGCTCATGGACGTAGAGGTTTACATCATTGCCCTAAATTATCCCGTTCGCAGTTAAGTAAATTAGCATGACGCACGTAAACGATGGTGGAATTGCCTTCCTAGTTAACACAATTTACCAACCTATATATCTGTGACCTCGTCTTAATAGCGAGTTGTTTTCACAGCAAGTAATGGCGACACGGGAAGCAACAGTGTCAAATGAGATGCACAAATTCTCTCATTAATGCAATATTTACGCACATCAGGTACTATATACTCACTTTAATTACAGTTAACGTAAATTACAAAACTCAAACAATAAGAGACTGGTAACAAAATGCACATATGAACACAAGTTTCAGTTCGAGTGACACAGCAGCTATATGCAGGTACAGACGTACCCTATACGTACTGAACGTATTGTGTAAGCATAGACATAATTTCATATTATGAATAGTATGTAATTACACATGAGCGCATGATAACCATCTCTGACAGGTTCTGTACAGAGGCCAAGCTGACCTTAAACATTTGACCTACTGTTAGCGTTCAGAGGGCGGTATAGCGGTGTCTTTAAATGTCACTGGGTGGTATGGTTGGTGCAGATTTCAACAGATATTCTGTAATAGTTAACCCAATGCTAGAGTCTCTGGCTTAATAATGTACGGCTGACATTAGCTACCCAGGGGGTTCTTAGGAGAGAATTATATATATCAGTATCGCCAATAGGTCAGTGGATAATAGGCATTATTGTTGGATTTCAGTGATATAGGTTCCTTATCTCGTCGCGTATACTCAATGCGTTAATTTCGAATAAAGAAAATAACACTTGACATATTGAAAAAGTTGTAATTGTCCGATGTTGTAACAAATGATTTTTTTAACGGTAATCAAATAATTATGAATAACAAGCGACAACCTTTGTCTCAGTATGTATGCTAGTTAATTAGGTGCACTATTATCGCAGGCACTGTGAGATCGCGTCAAGTATAATACATGTATATACATGCATTCTGTTGTTTATCAACTATTGACCACAAATATATTACCACCTTGTGGCAAAAGAAACGGACGTTTTTATCGTGACATTCGTTAATCCAGACTTCAGTTTTGTTTGTCCAGATTAACGCGTGTCTACGAAAACGAGGAATAATTATAACACTTCCACGGTGATGCTATGTAAGTGATAATATCAACACTGAGGTTTTACAGTATATTTCAAAAAGTATTTTTTTCACACTTGGAGATGTGTCTCTATACGAAGCTACTAAAACTTGGTAAAAACTTGGTAAGGAACTTTGTAAGGGGAATTTACCCGCTGTGGACGAATTTACTCACCGTCTGGTTCGGAAGGCGCCTGGCAACCAAATGTATTTGAGTCCATGGAGTGTGGTGTTTTGAGTGAATTCCACCCAGTTCCCATTGCAACAACATTCGGTCAATGAATTCTTCTGACGATTGGGCTCAATGTCAGCTTTCTGATCGTAGAGTCTGTTCTTTATAACCAAACCTGCATCCAATTCCTTCCCGTTTTTCCCGTTTGCTAGTCTATCAGCCATGTTGCTCGTTATAATTTCGCTTCAGCAGTACTCCTTACAGCAGCGCTGGCGTATCGACCGCTCGCAGGCTTTGGATGGAGCTGTTTTAACAGGGCAGATTCATGTCGTATTTAACCACATGGTTATCAATACAATTCACTGAATTGTGTATAAAGCCAATATGTGTAGAGTCCTTATTAATTGGTGGAAATATCATTAGTAAAGACTAAGGCCATACACTGGGTGTGACTGTTAATGTTATTTCAGCTGCGAGAGTAATTATACTTGCTAATAGTCGTTTTGTAAACTTTGAACAAATTTTAATTATGTGAGCTGAGTGTGACGTTTTCCGCTACTTGAAACCGGAAGTTTGACTTTTGGTATTATGGTTAAATCTCACTGCACTGAATAGCGGCGATTTAGGTTATTGTTTACGTTGTGTATGTCTTTATAAATGTCACTGTGCCTATATGATCGTTATGAATAAAATAATTGCTATTATTGTCTGATTAACATTTTGCAAAACATTTATTCATGTATGTATATCATGTGCCAAATAGGCCTATTTTGGACGGTTGACTACAATAGTTGGCTGGGGGGAGGGGGGTGAAACAATTTTATATAGAAACATGTACAAAGTAATTGCCCCCCCCCCCCCCCACTTGCATGTCATGTACAAATTCAATTATCCCGCCTTCCCATAATTTTAAGCATAGGTTTAAAATGCCCCCTGAAAATCATCATCACCCCCCAAAAAAATCAAAACAACAATACATGTATAATTAAATAAATTAAAATTTAATTAGTCAACCAAGTCACGGGTTCGAAGCATTACGTAAGCTAACTTAAAGATTGGGGGTATGTGTTGTATCAGCTACGGTGTGTATTAATTAGAAACTCAAGTATGTTACCGTTATGCTTTTCCAAAATTTAGATGTGGCATTGCACCTTCAGAGTAGAAACGGGCAGATATATAGGAATTTAAATCCTAAGGACAGAAAATGTTTTAACTGCATAGAATTTATTGAAGACGAAGAGTATGTTTTATTACAGTGACCCTTATATGATGATTTTAGAGTAGCTCTTTTAGCAAATGTTACGGCTAAAAATGTCCAACTTTTTAACATTGTCAGAATACGAAAAGTTATGTGTCCTTTACAAACACGAGTTACAACTTAATACTAGAATCTGTTTTTAGCACTACAAAATAGAAAACAGATTGTATGTGGATAAATCATTGCTTTTATGCATGAATAAATACCTGCTCGTATAATGTTAGCATTGGGGGGGGTGTTTATATTTTCTTTCTTTCTTCTATTTTTTTTTTTTTTTTTGCCGTCTGTCATAATTTACTACGAGTGGCACTGTATCATGTTCTTACTGTTCTAAGTCTTATGTCTGTATACTTATTTTTTAAAGATGAACAGTGATGAGACGTAAATACAATATCTGTCTGTGTGTCTATGTAATGTTCTAATTTCAGCATTCAAGATGCGTAATGCAGCAATCCACAGACGCCCCTCGCTCACTTCAGATGGGTCTTGTTCTTGTTGTAGATAACATTTTGAAATTATTATGAATACAGTGTCTCTAAATTTCAATTATACAACTTGTATTTTCAACATGGTATTTGATATTCACAAAAGGAATCAACGTGCCAAGGTCTTAAGTTACCTTTTATGGATCCCCAGAAATAGAATTTCACAAACGATAAGGGCCTAGATTTTCTAAGCTAGTCGTAAGTTAATGTTAATGTATGGCACTTACGACTATCTTAGCGTTAAGAGAGCTTCGAAAATCAAGGCCAAGGTTATTATCCCCCGCCATGAAGTGGGAGGGGGATTTTGGTTTGAGCTCCGTCCGTTCGTCCTCCAGTCCGCCCGTCTGTCCGAGATGATGGGGGACAGTTTTCTCAAAAACCGTTCTAGACAGGACAGGGAAACCAAATTTGGCATGTGTTTTCAGGACACGAATGCCTTTATAGAGTTCGAAAACGGAAACAGTGTTACACTTTGTTACAGAGTTATGGCCCTTGTCTTAGTACACGTTATCCCCAATGGGGAGAGATTTTCTCAGAAAACAATACAGATAGGAAACCAAATTCGGTATGTGTTTACAGGACACGAATTCCTTGATGGAGTTCGAAAACGGAAACCGTGTTACAATTCTTCACAGAGTTATGGCCCTTGCCATGCGTTTCTTGACTTAGTGCATGTTATAATAGGGACAGATTTTCACAGTAACCGTTATAGATAGGGAAACCATGTGGTATGTGTTTTAAGGACATGAATGTCGTAGTGGAATTTTTTTAAACCAGGAATCAAATAGGAACAGAACACTGTGGCGGGGTATATTGATGCTCAAAGTTTGTTAAATTACCGTTGGAACTCAGGTGAAAATGAAGTGTGCACCCCTCCTTATCTCAATAGTGTGCAAACACCCACCCACCCACCCCTTTCTCAAAAGCTGTATCCACCTCTGTGACGGTGATATATAAATAATCAGGTCAGACCAGACAATCCAGTGATTGACACCTTGAGCTTCGATCCTCGCAAGATGGGATACAATAACATGTGTCAACCTGTCGACCCAGGCCACCCAGTCACCTCTTACAATAAACGTGGGATGCTGAGGGTCAGTCTACAATAAAGGGACACAAGATTCAACAACTCCTCGGTGTCAAATTCTGTAGTGAACATATTGACGGCCATATTGGATTTCGAAATGGGAGTCCTTAGTCAATCATATGTCAGTTTTTATCTCCCGAAAGTATGATGCCAAATGCTTTCTTTGAAGGCGGGTAAAATAATATTCAAATATATGACTCGAGAAAATGTCATTGAAATCAAATGGATTTTCTTCATTCCCAGTACCGATTCTTTAGCTACATTATAGATCAATCATAATGTCTGCAGCCCTTGCAGGAACTTGTATTACCATTATTTACTGTTAGGTGGGATTATATTTGACTTATCACACCACGATAGACGTGTACAGGTAATTAGGAACACGAGGGTTAGAGTACACATGTCCCACCTTTCAGTCAGCAGTAATGGTCAAGCTAATTGATGTCTGCTTCGTCTAACTATTTGCACCATCGACGTTCATCAACGACACACGTCTTTAGAGACCAGGGTATACAGATCTACGCAAACAATGTATTGACGTAATGTAAATAAATATCAGTCTGTGGAGACAAACCTGGTCGGTTGATGAGTGCATGGAGTTTAACGCCGCAGCATTGTTCCTGACGGTGTGGAATTAATCAAATCTGATAAAACGACGGACGTTTTTAGCAACATTCCAGCAATATCACGCCGGGGGACACCAGAAATGGGCTTCACAAATTGTACCCATTTGCGGAATCGAACCCGGGACTTCGGTGTGACGAGCGAACGCTTTAACCACTAGGCTACCCCACAGCCCCTCAAATAAAGCGGAAAACGATCCATGTAATCGAGGTATGATGACAACTGGCGTATGGCACCCCATTATCCTTTCGCAGGATATGGAATGAATAAGTAAATATAGTTCTATATAGTTTTTAACAAGAGCATACACTAACTATATTTAGTTATGACTACACATACATGCAGAACATTTGGCCAAACAGCAAACAAATATGTTTTCCGCTGCCAATCTGGTTACGTCTTCCAAACCCAAGGTCGTCACCCCTTGAAGTCGACACCATGTCCGTTGCAGGATTGTTGGAGTTTGCAGTTGGACATTCTTGATGGTGGTGGACATTCTTGTCCATTATCATAAACAGAGAACACTTACTCCCTTTAATACCTGAAGATATGTCTGGTTGTGTACCTGCTCCAGCGCGGGACGGTGGGGGTAGCCTAGTGGTTAAAGCGTTCGCTCAGGAGAATTCCCCACATGGGTACAATGTGTGAAGCCCATTTATATTGTGCCCCGCCCTGGTATTGCTGGAATATTGCTAAAAGCGGCGTAAAACTAAACTCACTCACTTACTCACTCCGATGCAGCGTGTTTTCTTCTTAATGCATGCAAACCTTTATCGTTGTGTTATACATCCTACTCAGCAAGGTTCAAGATGTTTCAGCCAACACTGATCCACTCTTTCTGATATTAGTGGAGAAATGTATGTAGTCTAATAGCTTGGCTGTTTGCCTGTTTCGGATAACGATCATGTATTTGTAACGTAGAGGTACATGCCATTTTGTTAGAATATATCCTTGTGAAAATATCATGATAAAGTATTATCATGATCAACAATAGTAGTTTTAACAAGGCTTTCTCCCGTCCTTCTTTGTGATGATGGAGGACACGGTGAACACAACCATGTTGGAGGCTAATTAGATAAGTGCTCATGCTTCCTACAAGATTCCTAATGCGGGCGAGGGATAGGCACTTCTTCCCAGGTGAGCTAAACTCCGCGTCACAGACCATGTAACTTTACAAACCTGGGCCTCCTTTCACAAAGAACTAAGGTGATCGTAAGTCACTAAGGTAACCTTGCAATGTTAAAGAAAGGGAGTTAAGGTTAACCTAAGTAAAGGTAGCTTCGTGAAAGGAGACCCAGGACACCAGATACCAACGCATGGCTCCCCAGGGCTATGACCCCCCCACACAGCCACCAACTTCAAGGCATCGTCGCACATGTTGCCGTTGAAGCGTTAACAGCCAGTACATGTCCAAAACAACTGTTTCAAAGTGGACTTACTCATGACTACTTCTTTGTTAGATAATGTTCATATTTAGATAACTGACATTATTGAAAGATAGTGATTAATACTATTTGACAATCAGATGGAAATATAGAAACTGATACAAATATCGTTAATATTTTGAACTGAAATCAGAAACGAATCCTTTCAAGTGATGCCATCAACTGTAGTGACGCTATTGTCTGAAATGTTTTGAAAGTGTAAGTAACAGTAAACACTCTTGGCCCCATACTCGGTATAACATACTTCATAACCTTCAGGTAAATTGCCTATTTGCACGTGTAGTTTCCACGTGTTTGTTTCTCTCTTCCGGGTATTCGGTTCCACTCCATTATAGAGTTTCTGGCGGCGCTGTAAAGTGGTTGTCAACAAGTTCTAATGGTATCAAATATTTGGACACATAAGCTCCTAAATATTGTTCATGACTTCAAAAGGTGAAAATATTTATCAATACAGTAAATATAAAATTTAATAAATTACAGCAATGCATTACTCTCCTTTAACTTCCCGGCATAAATAATATTGTTAAAAATATCTACGAATTC